GTTATTCAACAGCTATTATGCATGAGACATGCAAGGTCACTATTGGAACTGAAGGAATTTTTTTCTTCTGCAAAGTAACCTCAATTTTGGGGTCCTAAACATACTCAAAAACTCACCAAACTTTGCACATAACTCAGAAGGGGTGAAAAATTGGGTCGTGGCAAACCGGCTCCCTAGCAGCCCCCGCACAAAGTTTCACCTACGTGTACGAAATTTCTGTGGTAATTGTATCATGTCCAGACGTACCAAAAAGCCTCTTGGAGCCATTGCCTAAACCCAACAGGAAGTCGGCCATTTTGGATTTAATGGGCGTTTTTGGCGATTTGCACTCCTAGGAAAATAGTCCGATCGACTTCAAGTTTTCACTGTGCAGTCTAAACTCATTGATAATTAAAAGTTGTACAAACGGTTATTACCAGTTGACCAGATTGCCCGTGGCGTGCTGTCAAGAAATAGGAAGTTGTTATAACTTCAGCATACATGCTCACATCTGCACCAAATTTGGGATGCATTATAAGAGTCATAGACAGTATGTTACTGGACAAAGCCACCCCGCTGGTTTGAATCACTGATTAATCAGCCCACCTACGAGGCTCACCTGCCAAACACCAACGTAGCGTCACTGATGGCCGAATAGTTGTTTTAGATTCACAGAGTTTATAATCTAAGCAATACGGTTACATCTCTCATGTGCGACGGGATGTCACAGGATTTTACACGTCATTTTTGGGATAATTTTTCCATGCAGGCTTTGGTTGGCTTCACTGTTTCAACTGTGGCTTACCCCCTTGGTCCCGCCCAGAACACATCCATATGCCAATATTCACTCAAAGTCATCGCGCCACCTGCTGGCAACAGGAAATGACACTATTTATGTTGTAATGTACTACTCCAAGCAGGTTGGACACATCAGCTTCAAACACATAACACATTGATGCAGTTAACGGCGTGGTGGGGTCGTGGCGGTTAAACTCTTCGCCATGACACAGGAAGTTGTTGTAACTTGACTGTATATGCTCAGAAATGTACCAAATTTTACACATTTAAAAAGAATGCTGTCCTGAGCACATGTACATGCCAACATTCACCTATAGTCATAACGCCATGGGTAAATGTAATACATTTAAAATTTAAAAATTGAAGATATGCAGGAACCTTTCGTGTTAGCGGTGGATATGAAAAACGGGCCCCCAGCTGTATCACCCACACATGCACCCAGTCTGTGCCCGACTCAAGACATTAAAGTTATACAGTTGTTTGCACTTTATTAAGTGTTGGAGTTTTCGGAGTATATTGTTAATATTGTCTAATTATTTCTGTTTCCAGGTTGCTTCCCTGTTTGCTTCTTACATCCTGGGTTACCTTGGCGCCGCCAAAATGCAATCCATCCTGGTCACTCACATGGTACGGTAGATGACCTTTCTAAAATGCTGCCAACAATCAATCCATCACAGTGATAGGAGTGTTTCTGGCCCGCTTTACACCTGGCATTAAAATGTGTTTTGGGTGATCGGATTGCAGTCGGATAGTACTTGACCTCATTGAAAGTACAGGTGTAGACGCATTGAGGATGGATTGTGATCTGATCGGCCAGGCAGTGTGTCCATGCCGCGTTAAAGAGCTTAATTCATTGAACATGCTCATGTTTTGGTGAACTGAATGGAGACATACTAATTAATTAGCTGCACATTTAATATTAGACACAGATACAATCTGGATACTAGATGCATTTTAACGCAAGGTGTAAAGGGTGTCTCTGTTTACCAACTTTATATATGTATTTGTCACTGGTGCATCATGCAGTGGCACCTCTGTAGCTTATTTCAACAGTGAAAGAAATTAAAACAACCAAAACAACTGAGTTCCAAAGATACGACAAAAGAATTAGAAAAGATACAAATTACCAAGGTGTGCAGTTGAGACAAAAAAGGATGGACAAGAGGAAAGCAGGACTTGAAAAGCAACAAAATGTTAGTTAATTAGAGCAGATAGTGGAGGGCTTAGTTGTTTCACTAAGTCATTGCTCAGTAGTTTGATATATCCCAAATGTACATTAGCGTTCACCATGTGTGTGGATCATGTCCTGTGCCCAGCATAAGTGAAAGTCTCTCCAGCTGCTGTCCTGTAATGTACTCTGCCTTGGTTCTACTTATCTCTCAGCTCCTCGGCCGGGAGAATTTCATGAGCTGTGAGGACAACATCAGTGGGGACAGGGGCGACTTTCTTTAGCATCAACGATGCCAGTGTGTGTGGACAAGTTCCTTTTTAACATGAAAGTGGGAGGATATGTGGGGAACTTTGTTCACCCTGCCAAGGACAAATACATGTATGTGCATATCTGTTGATGTGAGAATGTAGAATGTGTAAAGATGTTTGGGTGTGTGTGTGTTATTCTGGCCGTTCATCCCTCTCCACATTCTTTCCCCCTAATCCCCTCAGCATGCCAGGCTGTTAGCCAGAGCCTGTGTGCTCCACAGATAAGGAGAAGGCCCTTTGTGGTGAGATGGTGGAGATTTTTGTCAGAGGAAGGCATATGGCTCTGCATAATTTAGACGACGACTTGGCTTTGTGTGTGTTTGTGTTAAAAGAAAAAGAAATTGAGACACACAACCAGGCATGGGTGTCCTCACAACCTACAGGGTTGTTAATGAGCCTGAGCAGTATCAGGGTATCCAAATCATCTGTCAGGTCTTTCTATAATTAATTTTGTGTTTAGTCTTAAAGTGCCCATCACAACCTTAGATGAAGAAGATAATAACTACATTAATCCAAAACCCCATAATTTTGTATTTACAATGTTATAAAAGAGAAAAGCAGACCTCATATTTCTGAAGCTGAAATTAGAGAATATTTGGTATTTTAGCTTGAAAAATTGTTGTGCTAGTTGATTTCATTGATTTGATGATCAGTAGAAAATGAATGTGCGATAATTTTGATAGTAGATTTCTGAAGTTATTTTTCTAAACAAAATCCACTGGTTGCAGCCTTTTAAATGTGCAGATTTGCTTGTTTTTGTAGGCCTCTATGATACTAAACTGAATATCTTCGGATGTTTTCAAACCATTAAACTAGGACAGTTTAACTAACCTAGTCTATTTCAACACTTTTAGCTAACCATTTATGATGGTAATGCCGATACTTTCTTCTTAGACTGAGAGTGAAATAGCCCCTGCGTCAAAACACCTCCTTTTGCAACATCACATGAAGACAAAAGCCTAGACAATTGACAAAGATGCACACAATTAACATTACATTCACACAAGACAATACTGAAGGCCCTTCAGTGTACATTTGATCTGGGATTATGCTCGATATTTAACTTTAGGATTGACTGATACAAAGGAGTGCTTCAGTCTAACCTTATTAAATCGTGGAATCCTCTATCTCCCGTTTGATGGTACCAATTTGTAATCACTGTTCAGGACATTGTTAGGGTCAGAGACAATGTTGTTGGCCAGCCTTAATGTGATGTTATGCCATGCTGATTCACAGAGTTTCTCAAGGGATGGCCCTACTATCTTTTAGTAGTTTTGACTTTAAAGTTGTGGACAAACACTTTTAGCATTTAGTATTACAGTACTGCAGAAGACTCATAGTCAGAAGTAAAAAACTGAAGAATTTGTCTACTCGACGCAAAACATCTAAAGCAGCAGAGAAAATAATGTGGTTGTTTGGTGTTTTTGTTCTTTCTGTGATAACAGTTTGTCTGTCTGCCGTCATTATGAAGAACAAAAGTAACTTTAAGAGAGTCAGATTTATCCGGTACATTAGATATTTTAACTATTTATTTGTTACTTTGAGTAAAATTATTTCTATTCAAAATGTATCTATTTTTTTATTAGTTAACAACTTCACAATCTCTCCACGTACCCCCTGGGTTATAAGTTTCCTTAGTTGGGAATCACTGCCCTACGGCGTACTTAATGCAGAATACGTTATTTCACTTTTCACTGTGGGATGAAGCATCAAGAGTTTATTGAATAGGATTATATTTTTCTAGTGACTGTGTATCAAAAGTTTACTGCATTTGTTTATATTTCAGGAATGACTTCAACAACATTGTCACACAGAAAGACTTGTTATTGATTATTTAATACGATCCATCCCAGACCACCCTCCTGCTATAGAGACAGCGATGTTATTCTTTGTGGCAGTCAATAAAGAGCCGAGTGTTTTAATGGAAACCTACAGAAGCTAGCTGTGCCTTCTTGAGCTCACTGCCAAGCTCGCATGTTTGGCATTGTTTGTAATTACACCGACAGATCAAGCACTTTAAGCTGCTGGAAAACACCCGTTACTGACGCTGGATGGGCTGCACTCCACAGTCCACAGCCGTGTGAATTCACCAGGATTGTGATGAATGAAAACCTCCTCTCCTTCCTGTTCTCATCCTGCAGATCACTCTCGGCATCTGCTTTATCCTGATGTTTGGCAACTCCATGCTGCTCACATCATTCTACGCCTCCTCACTCGTCTCCATCTGGGTCAGTTGGACCTTTTTTTTAGAGTCTGATATATTGTATATACAACCATTGAGTGTTCTGAGATTTATCTGGTTAATCAAGATAAGTTCATCAATGTATCCAGCTCTGTGTGTTTTGTCATTTTGGATTATGGGTTATGGGTTTTTATTTTTTTTTTTCAGGGAATCATTGCATTGAGGAATCGGTTTGCTCAAGTCTTCAAACCTGGCGTTGTCATCTGGGTATGTAGAACTACTTCTTTTGTTTGGTGGGATATACATAATTTACAACATTTGTTGTTTTGTTTTTTTATGGCAAAATAAATAAATGTGGCTAAAAAGTAGTTTCAAATTAAATGTTAAAATTCAGCATTGACAAGGGTTGAAAAGAATTGTCTGGCAGCTGTGTCCAGTCAACATCGCAGCCTACCTAGCCTGCTTCCAATCCCACAGCGCCTTGAGGCTGTGATTATAAGTTCCTGTGTGAGTTGTGTGCGTATGTGTGTACGTGTCAGTGTGGATCTCTTCTTCCTCCTCAGGTCATGCAGGTTGTTGCTTGGGTTGGCTCCACAGTTCTGCTCAAATTTATGCTGTCCACAATCCTCTGTGCCTCAGATGATGTAAGCTACTAACTTTGTGAAATTTGTCTATCAGAACAAAATGCGAATATTCAGTTTGAATTATTTTTACATTAAATTATATTTTGTGATAATTATAATATTTTGAATGAACATAAAAGTAATGACTACAAAGTTGTTCCTATGTTCTTAGAAAGAGAGAAACATGGAAAGTAGATGTTTATGTCAAATATATTTACATTTTTGACAATATTTGACCATTTGACAATACATACTAATGCACACGCTGCTCTATTTATTATTATGGCATTTATTATTAAATTTTATGTATTTGAAAATGTCATGATGTAGTCGACCTAAAAGTGAAAACTTGGCTATTAAATTCCACCATCAGAAAGGGTCATAGAGAATAATTAACATTTTCAAATTCTTTCCAGCATTTAAAACCCACAAATTAAAGCAAATGTTTAAATATAAAATGTATAGGAAACATGTCTGTAATATGTAATATTTTTTGTCTTTTCCAGGCTCACATCAGTGGATTGATCAAGTCTAAGTTCACGAACTACAAGGACTTCCACACTCTGATGTACACTTGTGCTGCTGAATTCGACTTCCTTGAGTTAGAGGTAATGTCTGTTTTGACCTAAATCCGGCCCCTCGATCAGAGTTGCCATTTATCATCGTTTATCATTTATCATCATCAAACTGTTAAATGCATGTTTCAGGAGTTTTTTTTGTGGTTTTCAAAATGTCCCTCAGTCTCCTGAAGATATCAAAGTTTAAAAAATGTCTGCAGATTTGTAATAAGTGTGGTTGTTTGTAAGTGTCTGGTATTTTCTAGCACCAGGTCTAAATGTAATAGGAACCAAGTCTGTGCTCTGAATTTTGAACAGGAAATAGAAACCTGAACATGGCATCTCATTTCAAGTAGAGTTCTGTGCTAGCCGGTGACCTGGTTTCACTTTTGTGTGCGCTTGTTGTGAATATGCACACAAGTTAGAGCTGAGTGTACATTATTAGATGGCTCTGTCTCTCTCATTTCTTAAGTTACCTCACTAGTCTGTGTCTGTCTTTCTCCCTCAGACCCCTCTACGTTACCTCAGAACGTTGCTGCTGCCCATCAACATCCTGGTGGTTGTTCTCATTGCTTGGAGGGTAAGTCTTCTTTTAGGTTTTGGACCATAGACCTCAGAAATGGAAAAATACTTTGGTTTGCTTTCAAAGCAGTAGAGCAAGTCTGACCGAAAAAAAGCATGGTAACTACACAAAGTCTGCCTGTAAATCTTAAGCTGCGTTCACGCCGAAAGCGAATTTAATATTCGCCTCGCTGTACTCGCGCGAGTTTGACCGCTGGACATTTTGAGTGTTCACACATGTGCGTTTTTAAGCGAATAAACACAGTCCGTGGACACTACAGCTATATGAACCCAAAGTAAACGCTTTGCTGTGATTTAATTGCAAAATAACTAAAATTTTGTTTTTCCGTTTTGTTAGACATGAATTCATTCTTTGTCAGGTCTGTCAGCAAGACAGCAGGACTACAACTTTTAAAATGTTTGTTTTCTGAATTGATCAGGGCTATGCTATGCTAACCTGTTCACAGTAAAGTACAACAATAGCTGGAATAAAGTTACAGACAGACATTTTCTGAACTCACCAGGTAGTTCAACTTCCTCGCTTTCTTTTCTCCAAGTAATGTCCAGCTTTGTCCGTTTTTTTATATAAAAATGACTTAGTAGTCCAGCAGAACTCTGGTGCCATCTGACGCTGACAACAGCAGTGGAACCGGATGTGCACGGAAACTAGCTGCTGAGAAGCGCGAGTGAAGATAAATCAAGTTGTAATTCCAAAAACTAAAGTAAAAAGCTAATTTAATAAAACCAGTTAACTCTGAGCTCCTCTCGCGGGTAAACGCGTAGTTGTCAGAGCAGAATCCAGACCGACTACGGGTGTTTATTTGTCCGAAAGCTGCAGCACTGCTCCCCGTCCACTTCCCCGTTCTTTAGCAGCTAGTCATTACACCACTCGCCTGGTCCTCTCCAAACAACGCTCCAAAGCCGCCGGTGACGTTTGGACTATCTCACCACTGATAGGCTTTCGCAACATCACGTCAAGCGAATTTCTCGCCCAAGTTGAAAAATTTGAACTCGCACAAACCAGCGAATTTAGCAACAAACGCCTCATTTGTGCTGCCCGGAGGCGGAATTCACAGGAATTTGCGTCTTTGCATTGACTTTGTATGTAACCAAGCCGCCCAAAACGCTGGATTCACTTTTGGTGTTAACGCACCTTTAGAGATGACTGCAGAGGTTATTATTTACGCTGACAAAGGGGACAGGTTTAACACTCAAAATATATAGTATTTTTTGAAACAATGCTACATGCATGACATTTTGCTAAAAGACAGGCGAAAGCTAACAGGCAGGCCGTAAGCATCCTCACCAGTTGGTGGTCCATTGATATAAAGGAACATTGTTTTTGTTTACATTTACATGTGTATTCTCAAGCTTTGAGAAAGGAAGAACAGGCATTTTATTTTTGATTCCAGAAACATGAAATATTTGAGACATCAGAGAAAATAAACGTTTAAGGAGCTGCTCTTTATAGAGTCTAATCTCATTATCCCCACTCTAAGCTAAGAATACATGAGTTTCTTTGACAAAGCGTGGTATGCAGTACATGAGCATGCTGTTAGGAAGATCTTCTCATACAGTGCAGTATTTGTTGGAAACATGACATTTAAAAGAATATTTTTAGCATTTTGTTCTAACCAGTTGTCCTTTTCAGACTGTTCAGGATATAGTCCGGTTCCTGAGGGACGGAGGGAAGACAGACGATGCAGATGAAGCTGCAGGGTGAGCGTCCCGAGGCCTCCTTACTGGCCTTATTGCTTATTTGTTCACTCTATCAGTTACAGTTTTACAAATGGGATGATATAATTATTTTGTAATAATATGTTATGAAAGCTTTGAATAAACAGTATCTTCAGATCAGAATCAGATTAAAAATAAATATTTTTTCATATTTCAGCATTTGCACTTTATTTTGTCCCAAGTGGAAAGCTGAGTTTATATATAGTGTCTGTTTTGTGTTGCAGGTCTGAAATAGTCGGAAAAGGAGAGGTGAGATAAAAATATTTTAACATCTTTTTTGTTACTGTTAATTAAATATATAATAAGTATCATCTTGATAACACCTCAGTGTCGACTCTTACGTTTTTTATAGCAGCGTTCTATTTTTGATTAGATTCCTCCAGTGCAGTAATGTCTGCTCGGTTACTATGTCCCTAAGTGGTTTTCATCCCTTTTCTCATTAATTACTAAGAAAAGAAAGGCAGCTTCCCTTCTGCTCAGTAGATGATTTGTTAAATTTAACGGGGGTGGTCCATTGGGAGTGCATGTGATGCTACTCAGCCAATCAAATCTGTGCGTTCTGATAAGCATTGCTACTCAAATCAGTGAGTGAGATACACACAGGAACACAGACGAGTCGTGGAGAAATAATTTCACATGCCGTGCTCTAAAAAGAGAAAAGTAGAACACAGTGTTTAATCAAGAATGGACAGACTCCTACATGTTCAGTCTTTCTAGACAAAGCACAGAGCATCTTTTGATCAGGTTAACAAGGGGGATGGCGGCCCTTCTCGAATTGCTTCTGCTCTGAAATCACACTGTGCTGCCTTTTGTCAGCTTTCCCCCAGATGCTTCATGTCATTTTCTGTAATATAACTCCCGTTCAGATATTCATCCACCAGCGACAGTGTGTGGAAGTTTCCAGAGTTGCCAGATAATTGTGTTAATGTTTCTGGCTCAGAGTCCCAAGGGAAAGCTGTGTTAGAAAAGATCAAAGCTTCATGCACGTGGCATTATACAGCCTGTCCAGCAGACATAGCTTCAGATCAGCGTGACTTGGAGGGAGGTGGAGCTACCTCTAAAGACCTCATAGTTTCACTGACAGTAGAGCTGCTACATGGGAAATCAAGTTTGAACAATTTAGAAGTGAGTTCACTTAATTTGTAGTGCCTCAATTAAGTAAAAAGCTAATGTTACTGTCGTGGAAACTGAAATGTCAGTTGTTGTCTAGGTAAGTGTCATCAATCAAATACCAGATCACACAATATTCGAATCCTCAATTGATCTTTGTTGCTTGCAATCAAGAGCCCTCCTCAGCATTACACAGCCATGACAGTCAGTCTCTCATTAGCTATTATTGTACTTTGAGATAATACAAATATTCATTGTAGCAGCAGGAAGCACAAGGTGTTATTTACCTTCAAAATCATCTTTGAAAAATCTTCCTCTATGTTCTTCTTCGCCTACTCCTTCCCACATATCTTATTGTTATGCAATCATGCATAATTAGCTTTCTCAGATTCATTTTCTCAGTAACTTTAACTTTGTAATGTGTATAATTAGTACTATTACCAGACATAAAAATACAAATCTGCAAATATTAAAGTTACCCTGTGGAATTTTTGACCACCAGTAGCGCTATGAAGCCTTTATGAGTGGGTTCTGCCAAAGGTTTTGTGCTATACCACTAACTGACAGCTGGTGGAGGCACCAACAAACGTAGCAGTGCACCATTAAAGGTATGGAAGAGGACTGCAAGCTAGTAAACATGGGTATAAACAATGGAAAACTTTAAATATTTTAAATGCCAAATGTTTTATGTGGCAGTAAATTCATTTAACACAAGAAACACTGTATGTAAATATCACTTTTATTTGTTATTTTTGCTTGATAAATGACTGGTTGTGATAGGATTGTAATAGTAATTCACCTGTGATTTGTACCTGACACTGACAAAAGTGTCAATGTGGGGAATTAAAAACAGCACTCTTTCTCTGCACTTTCTTGTTAGTTTTGATTAGACTGTGTGTGAACTTGTCACTCTGCAGCTGGTGTACCACAGTCTGCAGCTGGTGGCGTTTGCTGTCCTTGCCATCCTCATCATGCGCCTGAAGCTCTTCCTGACGCCCCACATGTGCATCATGGCCTCGCTCATCTGCTCCAAACAGGTTTGCTTCTCACCGCAAGTGTGATTAATTTTTTATTTTTTTTAGAGAAAAAAAAGTTCTTCACAGTGAATGAAGAAGAGCCGAAGCTTGCAAATTGTAAAACCTATAAGCTCAAAACAAGCCAACATAGACTTTACTTGTGCTGCACCCAGGTATATTTGGCCAAGGAAACTGCAATTGGTGCATCTAAGGGTCATTGAAAGTGCTTGATTTGTATACATTTAGGGCCCATAAAGTCCTTGAAATGTATTTTAATTTAATGTTTAAGAAGGTGTGAGAACCATCTATCTATATTGTGCATTACTAAGGAGAATATCTGAGCACTCATTCTGTCCTTCAGTCATGCTCTCGCTCTCTCCCTGGTTGTTTTGTCAGTTGTTTGGCTGGATTGGGGAGAAGTTTAAACACCAGACTGCCGTGTTTGCGCTCATGGCAATCATGGCCGTACAGGGAGTGGCCAACCTGCAGGCCCAGTGGGCCATCATTGGAGAGTTCAGCAACCTACCGCAGGAGGAGCTGCTGGACTGGATCCAGGACAACACCCCTCCTGGTGAGTGTAGTTGCCTGCTTTCAATGCCACATTGAAAATGATTTTCTGATCAATATAAGTTATTTAAGTTCAGGATAAACTACAACAATGCACAGTGCCAAGAGAGCTTCTGGTTCCACTTTAAATGCCAGTATAGTTCTTCCAAGCGTGTGCTCCTCAAAATCTGCTCTGACAGGTCCACTCAAAATCTGAATTGCTTTCATAGTTATAAAAGGGTGAACAAAAGTATTATTTCTTTCCAAGGTCAAGGAGGTAAATGTCCGTGTGCGACAAGCGGGTGACATTTTGGTTGTTTTTTACCCAGTGAGCATGGTCTTGGAGATTTCAAGGGTCAAAGAGGTCTGTTTGATTTGTTTGAAATGATAACAGTTGTTTTGTTCTCAATATTATTGAATATACACATGTTTAATAGGTGCACCTATAACTAATGCAGTCTAATACAACAGTCCTGCAACAAGTCCTACCTCTTCACAGGTTATAATGTGCAGTATTTGTTGAAACTGATTTTGAGAACTGTTGATTCAGTTGTATGTAGTTTACGTTGCATTGTACTGACAGGTGTTTCTATTATTTTGTACCCCCCACCTGTCAGAATAATGCAGTACAATTCAACAGCACCTCAAACTGCTTCATCCAATATGATTATACATTTCACTGCTAACTTTTTACAAACTACAAAACTAACTGATGGAAATTAAGACCACTGTTGTGCTGTTCCGTGGTATATTCTATACTGTTAGTGTAACATAGGCACTCAACAACGGGCCCTTTCCATCCTCTCTTTTATTGTCTTATTTGTTTTTCGTTTCATGTGTGGTTGATGCAGATGCTGTGTTTGCTGGGGCCATGCCCACCATGGCCAGCGTGAAACTTTCCACAGGTCGGCCCATCGTCAACCACCCCCACTATGAAGATGCTGGTCTGAGGTCAGTGGACCTTACAGCGGCATGATTGCTCTCATGCTCAGATCAGAGACACAGAGAAAGAATTTGTTCACCAAAACATTCATATTTGGCTAGAGGCTGTTTGCAGTCCTGTTCAGAGTGCTGTATCCTGGTCAATGCACAGCATGTACAGTGTAATAGGGGTGTGCATTTCTCACAGGGTTCCTTCGCAGTATGGAAAAGTATTTGATTTTATTAAATTCCAGGTCTGGATAGGTGTGGAAAACAGAAACGGACGTATGGAAAAATACGTGTTTCCAGACTATTTTCCCCATTCTGTTTTCTAAAATATATATTCAGAATTTCTCAAAATAAATTGATACAAGCAGTCATGGCGTTTGGAGCAGGCGACCAGCACAGTCAAAGTGTTTACCACTGTGTTAGAGTGAGCCAGATGTCGTCGAAAGCAAGGCAAGAAGTATGGCAAAGTATGCCATGAACGCACATTGCTACCCAGATCACAGGGCACATTTTTGAACAATTATTTTGTTTATCACAAGCATGTTACAATTCTTCACATAATAAGACAGTAAGGTTAAAATCCAAACATCAAAACAAAAAAATTCTTCTTGAAATGAAAATGCATAAATAATTTAAAATGACATTAAACATACTCCTGTGAGGATTTTCGGGACTGGTAAGAGAGGATGTCATCCAAATATTTGCAGGTTCAAAGTTCTGCTTTCAAGCACTTATTTGCTTTAATTTGTTAAATCCAGTTGGCCTTGTGGTTGATTCAGTTCTCTTTCCCATAACTTTGTGGACGATTTATGACATCTGTAGTAAAGGTGATAAACGTGTCTTTCTTTTTTTCATCAAATACAGTATTATTTTATTATTTGACTGCTCTACTAGTGCATAAAATGTCTCTGAAGTTGTTCCCCACCTTATGGGTTGTTGTATTGCGTTGCTCGCAGGGAGAGAACCAAGCTGGTTTACTCCATGTACAGCCGCATGTCTGGAGAAACCGTTAAGAGGAACCTGATGAAGCTGGGAGTGGACTTCTTCGTCCTGGAGGATTCCTGGTGCACTAGGCGAACCAGGTACCCTCAGCACCATGAGTGATTTCTTGAAGTAGCAATCCTTACAATTTCAGTCCTGGTTGATTTGGCAACACCTGTGGTTACTGATTGTAACATCAAATGCAGTTTAATACTACAGATCACAAAGTTCCAGGGAACTAAACTAACTATTGTCATTTTAATGAAGAAGTCAGGCAGTAATTGGCCTTTTTCCATCAATCTGTGAGCAACTGTGTTGTGATTTATGCAGCACACAGCGTGATTCTGTGAGAAGCTGTTGGTAAACCTCGCTGAGAAGTTGGAGGTGTGCAGTCTGTCACCTGCAGCTCTTTATCTAACAGTTCACTGTGGCCGCTCCTGACTGTTCATTACTCCCCGCAATATTTCCCCCGCAAAAAATGTTTTGTAGACTAGTGATCGGTGGTGATCTTACTGACAAACACACATGGTAAAAGTCTACTCATGTTTCGCCAGTTAAATGCACTTTATGTGAAACTGCTTTAGTTAGAAATGTTCGGTTTATTCCAGGAGTGTCTTCACAGACACCCAGTTGGTAATAATGCAAATGCGAGGCATGTCATAATTCTCATCACTGAGCCACAGGTTCTGACACCACTGTGTTAAATAATTTGGTAATTTATAGTGACTTAACAGACATTTCTTTATATGAAAATCTTCAAGATTGCCACAACCCTGTTTTCTCTCCCTCTCACTCACTCTCTTCATCTTTATTTTCTTCCCTCCCTCCTCGCCCAGGCCCGGGTGCAGCATGCCAGAGATCTGGGATGTTGAGGATTCAGAAAATGTTGGTAAAATTCCCCTCTGCACCCACATGTCCAAGAACTCACGGCCCCACTTCACCACAGTCTTTTCCAATGACATTTACAAAGTCCTCAAAGTTCCCAAAGCTACCAAAGATCTCAGATAACATCGTGGGACAGACTGGTTTACCACCAAACCTGCTGGTTTTTCCACCACTTCTTTTTTTAATATGTTTTGGTCGGTCACTGCCATTGCTGCTTTTTTACTTTTTACTTCCTCAAACCCCCCACAGTTCCACTTTTTTGTGGGGCTCTGTTTCACTGAGCAGTGGACTAATAATAGGCTTGACATGCCAAAACACTTTGTCATAGGAGACTTGGTGCACCCACAGTTGTCAGTATTTGTGACTTAAAGAAACTCATTTTGCCAATCATCCTTATTGCTGCGTCTTTGTCATCCAGCGACGTTCCTATTACGCAGCAGTTTCTGCCCAAGTGAAAGCCAAAAGGTGTTGTAGCTTTCATTTAGTTATTTGCATTGGTTCTGTGACATAAATGCTTATTTTAAGAAACATTGTTCTCAAAGAGATGCTGTTCTTACATCAGTATTGTTTTTTATTGTATATAATTCATATTCTTTGACTTAACGCTAAAGAAGTAAATTTTGTGTGGCGGGACCAATCGATGATGTCCTCATACTGTGAAGCAATACCCTTTGCAAACTTGACAAAAGCAGACTTTTATTGTTATGCACAGTGTTGAGCTGAAAGATTTTTCAGTAGTACACTATTTTTATAATTTATTTGTGTGAATATTTTATGCAAACGTCGAGGTGTTAAGAACAGTGTTTTAAGAGTCTTTAGAATCACAGGGGATGTGTTTGGAAGCTTTTAAAAAATCTTTTTAATACATATCATTCAGCTTTGGTGTCTAGATGAAATTCACTCAAGATTTTGAACAAAATTCCACATGGTAGAAGAGCTTTTGTTCTTGATTAAGTTATAAACTGAAGGTTTATATGGCAAAATCTCTTAACTCTGCCCTGGAACAAATGTTTTGTAAATACCCAAACAATTATTTTGTAAAATACCAGTGTACGGCCTTTAAAGGGTTCCTTTGTGTCTTGAATGATTGTTTATTGCCAAAGTCTTGTTATTAAAGCTGCGTATTCGGGTACAGCACATGAAAAATGTATTTTTAGTGATTGAGAACCCTGTTTGTCAGTTGTGTAACAGCCAGTCCAAACCACTTGTAGCAGTTTACTTGATGTGAGTGGTACTAGAAAATAATTCTTTGATTCTCATTTCAATTAACGTGATTGCCACGATAATGCGACCATGAAGCGGAGTGAAACAAAAGAGCTAGGAGTAGCTGTAGTGTGCACCAATGACCACCAGGTGGCACATGTGAGCAACCCAGATGCATTTTCTCTCTGTCTCTACAGTAGGGTCGTCATGGCGACAATGCTCAGCAGGCAGATGGTGGAGGAACAGAGAAACGTCATAAAAACTCTTTGGGAATGAGTCACAGCACTCTTTTCTGGCAGGCCTGTACAGTATGCTTAGACATTACAGTCTTAATTTCATAATGGACTTTTATGATATTTAAACCACCCATCCATCAACCGTTTATACTCATCTATCAGACACAGTTTTATCAATAATAATAATTTTCTTTTCAGGTTCATCATTGATGATAAATGATCTGAGGTAAAAACTGTCAAGCCCAAACTAAGCCAAAATATGTGCTGGTAAAACATTTGATTCATAGATCTCCAGAAATAAAGTTTCAATGTTGTTGCATTATTTGGCTGACTGGTGAATTTTACGATATGTTCGGAACATAGATTTTCAGGAATGAAAATGTCCTTTCATTGTTAACCCACGTCAGGGTTGCAGTTTTCTCTTGGGTTGGTGGGCGCCGTGGATAAGACACACGCCTGTGGTGTAAGAGACCTGGGTACGATTCCCACTGTGACACATCCACCAACGTGTCCATGAGCAAGACACTTAATGCCTGTTTGCTCCAGAGGCATACTCGCAACCTCTTTTTTACAGATTTCTCTCGATATTACTGAATTCCCACAGAAGGATTCACAAATGTATGTTGGGATTTACTGTCACTGGCTACTTTATTAGGTACACCTTGCTAGTACCAAGTTGGACTGCCTTTTACCTTCAGAACTGCCTTAATTCTTTGTGGCATACTTTCAACAAGGTGTTGGAAACTGTTGTGTATAATTTTAGAGCATTATAGTCTAAATTGTTATTATTAATTATCAGAGCGATGGTGGTCTACATTGTCGTCATTTAAATTATTTTTATCGTAATTATAGTGTAAAGTTAGAATGACACTGTTAGAATTCTATAGCTCTGTGTGTGTGATCCTTTCTGTATATAACTGCCTAGGCTCAGCAGAAGAGTGTGTGTGTGTGTGTGTGTGTTGAAATAGTATGATCAGCAGAGGGCATGCCAAGAACACAGAGTGGGAGCAGTGCAGCCAGGAACAATCATACTTAAATTAAAATCCACCGAAAGGTTGGAAAGCAATGACAAAAAGAGAGAGACCAGTCATAGTGAAATAAAAGTGATTAAAAATCCACCAAATGCTGAAAGGTTGGAAAATGATGAGAAAAGAAAAAGAGACATTTGGGACATTCCCAGATCCAGATCAGCAGCTGTCAGGGTCGCTGTTCTGGTAATAGAATGTGTGCCCAAGTCTTGAATTTTTTACACGACAAAACTCTTCTCAGAGACTTTGGTCCATATTGCATGTTGCTGCAGATGTGTTGAATGCACATTCATGATGTGAATCTCCCATTCCACCACATCCCAAAGTTGCTCTACTGGATTGAGATCTGGTGAGTTTAGAGGCCATTGGAGTACGGTGAACTCCTCATTATCCTATTCAAGATACACTGTTGTCCTAAAGGGATTGATATGGTCAGCAACAATACTCAGGTATAGGCTATCATTTTTAAACAATGCTCAGTTGGTACTATGGGGCCCAAAGTGTACGAAAATATCCCCCACACCATTACACCAACACTACCAGTCTGAACCGTTGATACAAGGCAGGATGGAGCCATGCTTTTATGTTCTTTCCTCTGTTTTCTGTTTTTAGCTGACAGGAGTGGCACCTGATGTGGTCTTCTACTGCTGTAGCCCATCTGCTTTAAAGAGGTGTTATTACGCTACTTTTCAGGTTCAAAATCCTATTTAGAGGTAGTACCAGAACAGGTTTACATGGTTTAATATTCAAAAACACACCATATTTTTTGTCATACTGCGCATTGCTGCAGCTCCTCTTTTCACCCTGTGTTGAAGGCTTCGTTTTAGCTATGGAGTGATCCATCTTGTCTCTCAATGATCTTTGTTGGGAGTTGCACATGCGCAGTTCCTAGTTAAGGAGTACTAGCCAATCAGAAGCAGAGAAGGGCGGGTCAGCGAAAAGATGGTAAACTGCTTCGATTCAGCTGGAGGCTACATGTTGCCGACCAGCTTAGCAACATGGACTGGAGAGTTCCAGAGTGGTGAGTTGAAACTCTGTAAGAAAAGTATCTTTCATCCATAAAGTTTTAACTACAGTAACTTTATGTCCACTGACTGCCTGGAGGGTAGCTAGTTTTTGGAAGGTGCTACAGCTCAGTGTTTTCCTACCTGTGTTCTTGAGGGCGTGTCAGACTAGTTGTTCGGTGAGCATTATGACATGTATTTTCTTGTGACATCCCAAGAAAGTGGAAGTAAAGGCTGGACTACAAATGAGGTGTTTTCAGGCAGTTTAGAGCAGTGTTTTCTGTGGGAGATGGGAACTCCCTTTGGGCTGGACTTTGGGCTTTTTCACTTTGCAAACCTGTTACATGCACCAAAAAAGAGACATAACTCAATAAAGGAGAGGGGGAAAAACTAAAAAGCATAATACCACCTCTTTAAGGTTCGACATGTTGTGAAAATCCCAGAATATCAGCAGTTTCTGAAATACTCAACTGTGTTAACAAGCAATTGAACAAAGTGGCCGGTGAGTGAATATGTAAATGACTCTCCACACAAATATTTTTGAATGCACACAAACATATTTATTTTTTTCAGGAAAATTGCCCATGGCTAAGACACACTTTGGCCCATTTGCACACAGTTTTTACATTTTAATGCAATAAACTGTAGCTTAATCTTCTATTCAGATTAGTTTGACTACAAATTACAGTAATGGTTAAATACAAGTGAATTTGTGTAAAAGTGAATTTTAAGCTAGTCCAGTCTGGAGCCATACACCTCCACCTCGCACAGGCTCAGGTACTCCTTTCTTCCAGGGATATAGATGTTAACATAGCGTCCATCCATCCCAATATTCCTGTTACACTTGAATTCAACAGTAGCACCTGCCGGGATGCTTGTAATCACAGCACACCTGGTAGAAGAAACAGAAATCACTTATTTAGCTCAGCAGGGATTGACTGAAAAAATAGACCGTTCATTTCATCATTTTGTTAGACTGTTGCTGGCCGGAGTTTTTTTTTTTATTAGGGCTTGATAATGGAAAAAAGGGAATGTTACCACATTTACTTTCAGTTTCATACAACACAGCTAGATAAAATGCCGGTATTAGCTCTCTTGACGATATATCTGTACTGGGGCATACGTCGGCCGATAAGGAACAAGAAAAATTGCATTACGGAAATGCCTAACTTGGATTGAAATAAGGAAAAAAAACTCTCAAATATCAATATCAGTAAGGTTTGGCTGTATCGTACAATCTGCTCTACTGATGATGGAAGATGGTGTTATTTAGCACCAGGGAATATTTTTGAGAAAGAACAAAATATCCTTCCTCTGTTAGCACAAATGTGATGCATTCAAATTAAGTGACTTAGTAAATAAGTCTATAAACTACCGTGGATTATTGAGAATCTCCAATGTGGATCTCCGCTCCATTCAGTCGCCCTGAGTAAGTAGGATCTCTGAGGTTGGTTATCTTAACAGAAAACACTTTATGGGTTTTGCGCAGATCCAGTCACCACTAGGGGTTCATGTTGTTGTTTGTGTGAGTGCAAGAACCCAGTTCCAAAGCGTTGCCATTATTCCCATCAATGGCATTATATGCAATGCCATATGAATACAGTGACGATTGTGAGGCTTTTCCTTGGAGTGCCAGGTTCTCTCCTGCAAAACAATATAAAATCAGCACGATACCTTTTGTTTTAATTACAATATAGGGTCAGGATAAATTGTACATTTACTTAAATGTGTTATAGCTTGTGGTTTACAAATTTAAAAAATGTGGGCTTTACCAGTCCTGTAGGATTTAAGTAAAGACACTTTTGAGATGAATAAAAGAAATGGTAGGATCCAGTGTTTTTAGAGATTGTCTCAAAATAGCCTTAGATATCTTGCGATTACCATTGTCAGTCTGTCTCTGTTAAGCCCCCGACTTTCTAGAAATACTGCTTTTACTGCAAAGCACTTTGAATTACCTTGTCGTTGCTTGCTAATAATCATTATTATC